GCTAACCACCCCGTGTTTAGAGAGACGGTGGATAACGCCATGTTAGCTGTAGGTTGTATATAACTTTTGTGACAATCTTTCGTGATGATTTCCTATAGGTATCTGTTCACTGAAAATATTGCGTTTTCGTGGTCTTATGTTTAATATTATTTTATGTTTAAACCAAGACGCATAAAATATAACGCTATTGACTATATGATGTTAAAATTTTTCGTTTTTGAAATTTTAATCGCGCATTTCAAACTCCTGCAGTTATAGCTACGCAAGTATAATAATAATAATAATAATAATAACAACCGTACCGCCCCTTGCACTTTTCGTAGCCATTATTATGAACTCGTAAACTACGCTCGTAATATAATTAATCGTTTAAATGAATTTATAACGCCGCTGCAGTTAATAAAGGTTTAAGCAGAGGATTACGCGTGTGTAATGCCAAGTCTCAAAGATTCGGGTTTACAAACAAATAGTTTTATGTCAGTTAAAACGGTTTTCATTGAAACCGATTAACATATTTTACTCGAGTCGTTTAACACACGTATACATAATATATAGTGGGATATTATACAAATTTCCGTGACCGTGAGAATATTAATGTGAATATAATATATCCAAACGCGCGCATAATGATAATTTAATTCTAGATTTAAATAGTAACTATAAAGATAGCGTACTTAAACGATTGTCAAATACTACGTATTGTATACTATAACATATTTACGAATATCGTGTATCCCAAGAAAATATACATAACTTTCTAATTAAATTCCATTTTAGTAATTACTATTCCACATTATTACTTAAAAACAATAGAATATTATAATTACTGCTGATATTTAGATTTCGTGCTGTTATTTTTATTTTATAACTGTACAAATTGACAAAATAAGGATGTATAAATACATATAAAGTGAACAATATTACAACTTAAAATTTATACTTAACATCATATCATATGTAACTTCTAGTAAATTTTAATTGCACTATATATAAATCTCGTTCTCGAAGAGCCATTGACGATATTATAATGTTGTTTTATCGCCCGCGCAATGACATTTTATGACCAATTTAAAAACTGCGTTGTATATACACGCTATAGGTATAGTAAATAGAATGAGTCAGAACGCCAAGTGATTAATCATGGATATTTCATTGTCGCTAGGTATACGTAATCATTATTATTACAATTCTCGCTGTCATTATAATAATAATGTATTCGATGTGTTAAATAAAAGCTTATTAATTTCGGATATTGTATTTCATGAAAACCATGCCTTTATATACGTATTGCGATTTTTTGACCAATATATTTTTTAATTTCCTAAGTGCTATACGCGAGTACAGTTTGACTGTTAAGAGTTCACGTTAAAGGGGGGGGGGGGGGGGGTTGCAAAAAATTACAAATTACTCTTGGTACGTCTGTCATGTACATAATATTATATACGCCTCTAAAGCCGTCTCTCTTTTTTTCTCTCACCCTCTCTTTTTCACCGACTATTTCTCTTCCCACTACCACCCTGTTACTCTATCACTTACTCCCCGGAGGAGGTCTCCGCTTTATTTTATTTGACACACACATGGTGGTTGCCGCCGTCGTGAGCCTTTTACGTTTTCGTTAAATCTCTCTCTTTATATATATATATATATTATTATTCTGGCTTTCCTTCACTCACTGCTCTCTCACTTTCCCTCTCCTTCTCCCTCACTCTCAAACTCCATCTCCGGTTTATTCTATGTTTTTTTTTTTTATATATATATAATACGGTTTAGATGCTTACTCACAAGAGTGGCGGCGACCGGTCCCCGATGGGAACACGCAGCCGCCGCCGAACCGCGTGCGCTGCCCCGAAGGCTGAACGAAACGGGGCTTGCCCGCCGCCGCCATAAATCTTCGTCACTTTTGACGCGTAACGTCTCTTCTCTCTCTACCCCACCCTACTACGATCTCTCTTACTGTGCAGCCCACCCCCCGGTCCGTCAGTAGCATCGCCCATCCGACCTTCTACCGTTCCGCCTGGTCCCATTCTCGGCGGTGACCCCACGACTTTCTTGTTTTCGGCACACACACTTACATTTAAACACACACATGCTTGTATCCAAGGACTACAGGTCCTTACTTGTGTGTATAGCCGACGGCTGCACGAAAACGTCTAGCCCGTCCAAATAATCTTTTTTTATAATATGGTGCAATATCACCCTCTCCTTCACTTTGCACCCTACCTTAGTTCTCCTTTTGAATTTAAGTCTATCCCCTGTTTTTAAGTCTGACGGCGGAAGAGTCAGAGGATACTCTACTTGTGTGTAAATTGTGTATAAATATATATATACACATTTATACACGTGCGGGCGGGCACGCTATTAATACGTGTCCTCTTGACGCGCTGCTGCTCACGACGAAATCCTTATATATACATACGTATTCACTCACACTCTCACACACACTTGTATATACAACGCGAGTATTGTATAGAGGTATAATGTATCATTATGTACTGCAATGGTGTCACGCGTACGCGTGTGTGTATGGGATTATATACGAGTATAGTTAAGTCCGCGCGATCAGTCTGTGCGTGCACACGGTTCAACGGACTTCCGCGCTTAGTACCTAATGCATGTATAACGTTATTATGAAACCGGAAACAGAACGAATAAACGCGGAGTCGCACTTTATAAGACTCGTAAATTAAAGACGAACTCGTCGAACGTGGCTTTGTGCGCTGCTCCCCTCTTGCTCACAATTCTTTCGCTGGTCTATGAGTATCACTGATATACCTATTATACTTACGCGTGCCGGCCTGCACATTCTCTACAATTTTTAAACCCAACACGGTCCATCGTTTGACCATAGTGTCTAACACAAATCATGTTATATATATATAATTTCAATTACTAAATTATGATGATAGACATCTGTCAGAGAAGTCTGTACATCAGTATAGTCTGTTTGTTTTATACGATTGTGCGTAATCGTTCTGTAAATAATAAATATACGTTCTTTATTTTATTTCTTAGTAATAATTATTAGATACGCATATTTAAATTTGAGTGACAAAAAATAAAAGATGAAACGATAACTGATTTTAACGTTTCTGTTCTTTGAATAATAATAAATAGGTACTACACAATATATATGCGTACTCAGTAACGAACTAGAAAATATACCCTCCGTGATGTCGGAAACACGTACATTACATAAGTATATAACACAACACAACAATGCGCAGTGTTACGCACGCTATAGAGAAAAAGCGATTAATTAAAAACGTTTTCATTGGTCGCGCGGTGTGCACAACCTTCGACACATTTCCCCCTCGCGGCCGTCGGTTCCCTACGTAATATATATTACTCTCACACACACATATATATCGTAACGACTTCGGTTGATCGGTCGACTGCAGTGGCCGTAAATGCGTCTTCACAGCGATTTTCTTCCCCCACATCAAAAACTCGTTAAGGTCTTTGTTGCTCGCGCGAAAAGAAAGTCTCAATAAAAGTTTTTTTTTCGTTGAAATTTTCTCGAGGTTAATCGATCCCTCCGCTACCGCTACTAAAACCAGTACCTACATGTATAATAATAATCGAACGGCCTATTAGTGTGGCTGGATTTAATCGCCCGTTGTAGTACGGTCGTCCATAATATCTGACATTGCATGTATGGACACTCTGATGTGTATGTAGGTTAGTCGTGCGTATATGTCTGTGTCACGCTCCTTTCTCTGTCTAATGTGCGCTTATTTTAACGGTGAAAAAGGGCTGAAACGCGAGAAAACGTTGTTGTCGCTACCGACAAAAAATAAAAATAAAAACTAGTCGTTTGTGCTATTCATATTATAATGCTATGCTTATGTAATTAATAAGAATTGTCATAACTCATAATTATTGAAATTCAGGTATATGCTACTTCCACACCTGCGCGGCACTAGAGATCCCATCGGGACGCCTGTGGGAATAACACACATAGTTACATTTATATGCCTTTGTACAGTGAGAGTGCTTTGTTAAATTTGCATGGTTTTTAATTAAATAGAAAAATTACGATTTATTACTGTTTGCTGCACGTTTTATATTACACCTAAACCTATGAGTATCATTATTATTGTTAGTATTAGATCTGTGCATTTAATACATTAAGCAATTTTTGAAGAAGCATAAAATATTTACACTCAAAATATAGTTGATATATTTATTTTTTTATGTGAAATTTAAAATTTGTCATGGCTATTATTAATATAAAGACAAAAAATATTTTTTAATAAACCTACATTTTTATGTATAAACAATAATACGAAAAAATCAACTCTTATAAGTAAATAGCGTGTAATTTTAGATTACTTTGTTGATAATAACTATTATCTATTAAAACAGGAAAAATATATTTAAAAAGTATAATTTCAAATTCATCCTATAGAAATAATTTTTAAACAAACTATGATCAAACTTTAATTTATTAAACAAAGTAAAAACAAAAAATATGTAAATGTATTAAATTCGCAGTCCTGGTTATTATTATAAAGATCATCGTTGTGTAAATATATGACAATATAGCCTGTATCTACTTACTCTGTTGGTGTAAGTCGAGTTAAATCAAGCAATAAAGCAACTAACCGCATTGAATAGAAAAAACAAATACTTAGATAATCTTATAAAGTAATATCAATTATATTTTTATAGAGACCAAATATTATGTAATCTCTAAAACTCGTCAAAAAACGTGGTTATGAAAATTTCTAATTTTCCGTACGATTCTCCTTTATCGGGTCACTAATACAGCAACAGATTAGGTACTTTATTTTCGAAGGGAGGAGGTAGTTATCCATGTGGGCATATAAAGAAATATCATACATAATATACCTAGGAGGGCCTTACCCTGTCTTCGTGATATGCCGAGTACTGTCTCATATACGTATAGATATTAATATATTATATCATCGACTATCCTGTTAACGCGGCATCATGCCGTCAGACTTATCGTAGTTGTCATTGTAAACGTTATGTTTCAGAGCGGAAACGCGGCCGGCAGACGTACACCAGATACCAGACGCTGGAGCTGGAGAAGGAGTTTCATTTCAACCGGTATTTGACCCGGAGGCGGCGGATTGAAATCGCGCACGCACTGTGCTTGACCGAGAGGCAAATAAAGATATGGTTCCAGAACCGGCGGATGAAATGGAAAAAAGAAAACAAGACCAAGGGCGGCGACGGCCAAGGTGGCGACGGTAGTGATATCACACCGCAAACATCGCCACAGTAATTACGTCGCGACTTCTCGTCATTATTAAAATTATTATTATTATTAATATTATTATTATTATTATTATTATTATTGTTACTGTTGTACTTGTACACGCGTGTGAGTAAAGGTGAAAAGGTCTACAGTTTTCCGAGTGCCGTACGCGCGTGTGCGTGTTGCAGAGTGTCTTATGGGCGCGCGCACTTTCGATTGTGCGTGTTTGTGTTAGCGTTTGAGTGTGAGCAAGTGCGCGCGTGCTCTGTCCATAGTCGTCGAAATGAGATGCGATGTATGCAGGACGATGGTGGACTTTGACATTTATCGTGTATACTTTGAAAAAGAAATTCCAAATGATAATAATAATAATTATACACTATCGCTCTGTACAGTTAAATATATATTATAATATTGGTCACTATATTACAATATTGTTACTATGGTAACAGAGCGGGGTTTAGATGGTAAACAATAATATTTTTTTAAACAATAATCTTCTTATTGCATATTGAAAAAATAAAACAAAATAACATACAAAAAATTTTGACATTTCTTTCTGGGTATATGACATTTATATATATATATACGCAAAAAACGTATTTTAAATCATTTTTTTCAATTTTTGAAAATAGGAAAACGTCTTTTTATCAATTTTTATCATACTGACGGCAATACTATATAATATATAATTACGTGTAAAATTTTCCTTCGCTTAGGAAATTTATTCTAAGATTGTGTCTAAGTCATTATGTTGTAGGTTTTTTTTTTTTTTAGTTCTCGTTTAAGTTTTATTTAGTTCTAAGCAGACAAATAATAACGATAGCAATGATGACGTAATTTTTTTTTTCAAATATCCAAAGAAAAATGGCATAATGCTCGCTGGTTTACCACGAAGTAGTTTCCGCTATTCGCGTGGGTACACACACACACACAAATATAAATATATGCGATATGGATATGTAATTTTAATTAAAGTACACTAAGTAATACATTATATCGTTTTAATATTTTAAGATATTTTGTTATGAGCGTATCGTCGCGGTCGATGATATGCGTTCGGGATCTCAAAACCAGCTCAAATAACTCGTTCTCGATAATAATAATAATGTGTATCTAACATATTTGTCTTATCTTAACATACGTGTTGTACACAATACATAATACATACCTAGAGATATTGTGTAACATATTAAGTTGTATATAATATGTGTATTAGTGTTTGTTTGTGTATGTGTGTGTGTGTGCGCATGTGTATTAGCGGTTATGTCAATATATCGGTTTAAAATTCCAGGACCAGTTGTTGTTTGTTTGTTTTTATTTTTTATTCAACTTATAGTGCCATTAGGAATTAGACTGGCACCGCGATTCGCGTTCGATACAGTGGCGATATTGTGCGATCTTATTTTTGGGATCGCAGCATTCGTTATAATAGCATTGTCTTGAGTGCGCACCGCTAATCGTTTTTACTGTTGTAGAACTTCGCGGTCGTAACTTAAAATCACTAGGTGTATAATATCACATTATATACTATTATGTAGGTACTTGTTGTCTCGGCCACGAACTTCGGTCACACAAATACCGTACACGACCGCTCCCACCTCCACAGTAAATATTTAAATAACAAATGAATAAGATATCGCACACAATAATATAATATCAATTTTTTCATTTACCTATACTGAGTAAGGTAGAATGGGGCCCGGGGGATCGTGCGCACAATCGGACGTGGAATTGCGGTGATAAAAACAATGATAATATTATTACATATTTATTATATTATTGTAACAATATAAATGCTAACGTACCAAAGGTGGTATTTGTGTATACTTTTGTTTTTGTTTTTTTATTTAATTTATTTATTAACGTTTTAATTTTTTTTTGTGTAAGAGAGAAAATATAATAAGAGGAAAAGTAACGCGTGACTCAAGTACATGCATGTATATTAAGTAATTATATACGATTATTATATATAAACTATTTAAATGTGTACATATAATATATATATATATTAAAATATGTTTAGACTTTGTATATTGTAATAAGGTAAAAGTAAAAAAAAAAAATGTTTATATATTAGAGATCGGTCCATGCCACTACTTGTTTACTTGTTTTCTCTCACAAAATATATATATATATTTCTTTTTTCGAATACACAACAATACTATAATTACTATTGTCGCGATTAAGAAAATCCGCAAATTCATTTTCGAAAAAAAAAAATTTATGTGCAATTTCATCGGCTCCGCGAATCAGCTGTTTCCGTATACATATAGGTACGCAGAACATAAATTATAATTGTTTTTATTATAATGCATGTGTTATGCACGCGCATAAGCGGAAATTATTGATTATCAGCCCGTTTCATTAATTATAATTATTAACTGCAAATTACTATATTTCTCTTGTACATACATCATAGATATTTCTTCTATATGAATATATTATATAAAGTATATATAAAAATATATATATATGAATGGCGTTTTTCGAAAATGAAAATCGTTACGATTTATTTGACACTATTTCTTCGTAATATTGTACAGTTCAGAGAGATTTTATTTATATATATAAAAAAAATAATAATATTAATATTATATACAATTTTATTATATTATATAGAAAAAGCGTGCGTGTGCTGGTAGATTCTTCATTTTATTAACCATTTTGTTTTTTCGTTTTTAATTTTATCATTATTATTATTATTTTTGTAAAAAGAATTTTTGTATAAAAAATTATTTATTCTGCAAAGCCTGGCAAGGATTACCTCTGATTTATTTTTACATGCTAGGTAAAACAGTGTAAAAATGAAAAAACGACATATATACGTAATTAATAAGTCTTGTTTATTTTTTTGAGTCGTGATAAATAACATTAATGTTGAGTACTTATATTGTAATACCAAAAAAGAAAAAATAACAAAATTTGAAAAATCAATGTTGACACATTTTTTAATTTATCGACATTATTTAATTAATATTTTTAATATTTTTTCCGATTAAAAAAAAAAATATATATATATATATAAAATATGTAATAAATGGTCAGTACAATGAATATTAAGATAACTGAGTGTTGTTATGCAACATTCTCGATAAGTTCCTCCTAAAATATTAGAATTAGTGTTCGTTACATTTTTAGACTAATTAAGTAGAATTTTATGTTAATTAATTAAAAAAAAAAAATGAACGTTTTTTTTTTTAATAAACAAAAACATGAAAAAAAAAACAAACAAATCTTTATACACTATATTTGTACATAATTATCATATTTTATGTATACGTATTTTACCTGTAATATGTGTATTACAATACACTCATACTATGCGCACACAATTATTATGATCTACGCATGATGCATATAATATATTATTATTATTACTTAAATTACGATGGTAATATTATGCACATTGGTACTGCAGTAGTATCGTGTGACATATTCGATAGGCTAGTGGCCAATCCAATCTTGTCGAAATTCTATATATATATAATATCATCATCGGTCTAGCCATATCTACTCTTAATGAAAAAAAAAATGCATAACTTAATAATAATATTAATAATGCATAATGCGCTACGTGTGTGTGCGCGCGAGTGCGTCTTTGGTATACGGCCAAACGATCACAGTGGTAGGTATAATATTATATTTAATGTATACGCACTAGCTGCAGCCGAACGCCGGAACGCGTACTTAATTAAAAACAAACCTCGGCAGGCTGCGACTAAAAATCGTGTCTACGAAAACGAAGACGAGAGAAGAAAAAACGCGTCGCACACGATTATTGTGCTTGTGTGTATATGTATACGTGTAGTGGTAGTAGATAATAAAGGGAAACTATTCGTCTGTTTGCGTGCACATATACTATATACGTATATACACCCTGTGAAAAAAACCGACGTGTACGTGTTAATATATTATAATGAGACAAGACGTGAAGATTTATTTGTGTCAGCCCTCCCCGCATCCCCTAACCACTCACATATCACTCATGACCCTGCACTCTAAGTTCTCTTCACCAGGTCACCTTCACCCATCCCACGGGTTTACGGATACACGGTTCTAAATATGCATAGGTATTAAAACGAGATAACACGATAAGACGTTATAATATTACAACATATTATGATATCACGACGGATATATTATCGCGATTGTGTGCCGCCGATAGTTCGATCGATCTCTGTGCATACGGGTCGCGTCACAAAAATTGTTTAAATTCGTTGTGCGGATCGCCTGAAATAAAGTGCATGTTTTTCACGTCCGTATCGATCAAGTGTTCCGTCCGTATTTCTAATCACGTGTGCGATTACGTTGTGTGCGATATCGTCGACAATACGCTCGCAAGTTGCTCCTGTTCGAGGATACGTTTATGGCGACTGTCGCTATATGTACTCTAGCTGTAACACCTGTGAATGCAACTCCGGGTGCTGCACCTGTAAACGTGACTTCGGCTGCTGCACCTGTGAATGTGACTTCGGCTGCTGTATACCCTAGTATATTATTTCAGAATACTGCAATTTCCTTTGCACTTACTGCAGTGAAATCGGAAGTCTTCGCATCCGAAAATGGTGAGTGATACACAATTATTTACATTTGTTATTATAATTTAAGCTATTTTTTTTTTTTTTTTATAAAATATAAAATACAGTTATTATATAAAAATTAAATTTGTACAATTGGATACATCAAGATGGGGGGGAGTTAAGCAAACATTTTGGGTGTACGCGTAAATTATATGTAGTGGTCAATCATATATAAATAGGTATATTTTGGAACGTTCATCAACCTCGATGGATACGCAACCACTGTAGAGGGATATACGTATATATTTATATAGTACCTATGTATGGGTGTATGGTGGTGAGAAATTTATGTATCGTCTCTTTATCACTTCCACATCGCCGACGAAAACTACGGTGACTATAACACTACATAGCCATACGTCGATGATGAACCCCTCTTCCACCTCGCTCCACATCGCTCAACGACGATACAGTAGCAGAATCCGTTCGACGTGAGATATGAAAGTCGGTTAACCACCCCCTACGCTTGCCTTCCTCCGCCACTATAGCAACCACTACACACCCCTGCAGCATTGCACCTCTCGCAGCACACCAGCCACATAAATCAATGGGCTTTTCACGCACGAGCGTGTATACATTTGCACGCGTGTGAGCAAGGTTTTCCCGGTCGTCGGAGAGCTGAAACAGCGAAAGAGAAAGAGAGAGATTGAGAGAGAATATGAGTGTGAGAGCGTGGAGAAGAAGGAAAAAACGAGATATGATTTTTTCCATCGTACAGGCGTCAGCGTGTATTCACTAACGATCCGGCGGTGTATAATATTTCTCTGTTGCTCTTTTTTCGTTTCACTGTGATGTGTTTTCCTACATATAGATATATGGAGAGACGTGAAATCCCACGTCCCCATCATTCGTCTCGCCTCTATCTCGTCTATTGCAATGAATATTTTTGTATTTCACTCAACCATGGAAAATATGGAGCGTGTTTGTTTTCCTGAAATTCTAATATTTCTATCGTTTTACAAACTTGGCACATTAAATTATTATGCATGATAGTGTAACCGTTTAAAAATAGTTGAAAAAATATCCTTATCTTGCTAATTAAAATGTTTGTATTTATACCATAAATCTATATATTATTATTTATTTATATAAAGGAAAAAAATACAGTGAGTAATGCAAAGTCAAGAGTATACTCTATAGTAATGTTTATAGTTTATCGTCATTTGCCGTGATTTGCATTTCAACAAGTGACTTTATAGACGGGTATAATTTTTCTCATACGCAAGTGGATAAGGTTAGGTTATGATTGTGTATATATTGTAAAATGAGATACGCGTGCATTTCTACCTGCTGCAGGGCTGGTTTTAACCGAAAACTCCGGACCCGGATTCAACCCAGTCGTCCGCAATGCCATAGGTTTTTGCCGCTGGCCTCGCATAATCGCCCCGCGCTGTACCACGCACTGCTAAAGCTCGCGCTGCCCCGCGCATGTAAAAATATATGCATGAACACGACACGACAGCAGCAGGACGAATTCAATATCTCACGCACAGTGGTGGTCGTGCGGTCTACTGCCGCGTCCGAATTGATTAAGGCCATTCCGTGCGCGATGCGCGTGTCACTGCCGCTGTCGCCGCCGCAAGTTTTGCGTACGCACACAAACAGTCTCGTGATATACATTCTCTACGAATCTCTATATGTGTGCGCGTGTGTACGGCTAAATACGCGTTTGTATTTAGCGGGCGCAGTGTATAGGTAATACATATATATATATATATATATATGTGTATCAGTATGGGATAGTGAGAGAGGGTGTATACTATGTATATAT